CCCGAGCCGCTGGGGGACAGCCCAGCRCACAGCCCCYCTGGCAGGGATCACACTGGGCTTTGCCAAGGTGTTCTCCCCCTGTCACAGCAGCTCCGTGCGGGAAAAGCTCTCCCCAGCACAGCATCATGGCTCAGAGATGGATTTGGGGACAGGCAGAGGGTGAAGAGTGAGCAGGAAGCCCCAAAAGAGCCGTTTTTTAAAGGAATTCCAAGAAAAGTGATGTTCTGATCCATGCAGTTGCATTTCTACGTCAAGCCCAGGAACCTAAAACATGGGACACCAGGATAGATCCCCCCAGGCTCTGCTGTCCTCCTGCCCTTTCTGCTCCAGTTTTCAGCCTCAGTGACATCCCAAAGCCACAGGAAGACTCGGGAGCAGTGCCTGGATTCTAATGCCAGCAGGAATCTCAGCAGTGAATTCCTTCTCCACTCACTCCTGCACCACTGAATCCCTCTCACAGCACAGACAGGGGACAGTGGGCAATCCCAGCATCCTGGGGTCACCTCACTGCCTCAGCTCCAGCAATTTACATTCCTTCATCCAAGGAAAACGGGGAAATGCTCCAAACCTCTTCCTGCAGGGCAACACTTCCTCCTCACAGGCACAAAGTTCTCCACAATCAAAGTTACCAGGAATGTTACCAACACCAGGAACACGGGAACAGGTTGTCCAGAGAAGTTGTGCATGACAGAAGGTGGGTTTAGATGGGCTCTTGGGAAGAAATCCTTCCCTGGGAGGGTGGTGAGGTGCTGAATGGATTTCYCAGAGAAGTTGTGGCTGCCCCATCCCTGGAATSTCCAAGRCCAGGMTGGACAGGGCTTGGAGCACCCTGGGCTGTGGAAGGTGCCCCTGTCCACATGGGACTGGATGATCCATAAGGTCCCTTTCCACGTAAACCATTACAGGATTCCATGATCGCACATATCCAAACATTCCCATGGGCAAAACCACRCACTCTTGATCACTCCAAGCTCAGGGATTCCTGTGCACACACATCCCAGCAAGCCCTGCATGGACACACAGCTGCTGCACAGGCAATATTCCCCAATCTCCAACCACTTGTGCTCCATAAAACCTGTGTAACCGCTGGATAACCCTCAGGGAAATCTCCCCCTTCAGTTTACCCAACTCCTGCCTTTCCCAGCTGCACCTCAACCCCAAACCCACCAAAGGTSCAGTGCTCGCTCTCCTTTCTCTGCTCCTTTCCCAAATTCCCACTTCCCAGCCCCCGCTGGCCCCGCTCCAAACATCTTTCCCGCTGTACATTCTTCCCCAAGCCCTTATCTCATAAATTAGCTGGGAGAGGGATCCCAAATAGCTGAGCCATGGTGTAAGCGTTTCCCTGAGGCAGGGGCGGGCGGGAGCAAGGGAAAGGTTGGGAGCAGGATGCCAGCCAAGGGTCAGATGCTGTCAACTCCCTCCTTTTCCTTTGAATCCAAACACAAATGCTCCAGGAACACTCTGCTGCCAGAACCCCCCAGCATCCCAGGATTTTTGCCTGAGCTCTCCTCAGCAGGATGGTCCAAAGCACCTCCAAACACACGGATCAGCTGTGCTACCACAAACTGGGAGATTCCTGAGTGGGAAGGGATGATCCACAAGGATCATCTAAGCCCAGCTCTGTGCTCTGCACAGGAAAATCCCAAAAATTCCACCATGTGCCTGAGAGAAGCAGGACAGCGAGGATGTTCAGAACACGGGAAAAGCCCAGCTTGGATTGTACTCCCAGCATCTTCAGCTCAGGAAAGTGTGAAATTATTCCTAAAGCATCTTTTCCTTCAGAGGCCTTTCCGTAGCCCTTTCCCAAAAGTCAGAACAAAGCCTTTCCCATCATTTTTCTGCTTCTCCATCCTCACAAGCCTCAGATGTCATCCTCAAAGAGCAGACTGCCCCGGGAAATAAGGATACCCAGGGAAACAAGGATATCCATGGAAATAAATATATCCAGGAAAACAAGGATATGTAGGGAAACAAGAATATCCAGAAAAATAAAGGATAGATACCCAGGAAAACAGGGACATCCATAGAAATAAATACACCCAAGAAAACAAGGTTACCTGGGGAAACAAAGATATCCAGGGAAACAAGGATATCCAGGGAAGCAAGGAAATCCTTCCCAAGCAAACACCAAGGAAAAATTAGGAAAATCAAGGTCCATCTCTCATAGCCCAGAAGACCACAGGCACCAACCGGACTTGAGAATTTGGGATCCAAAACAAGCCTGGCTCTGTGGATAGGAGCAGCAGCCAATTCCAGCCAAATTCCAGGCACTGATTCTTCCCCAGCTCCACCAGCACAGCCCCCACTCCCAAAGTCTCCATGAAGAGCCTGGTTAATCCTTGCCTGACACTGGGAAACACCAAGGCCTCAAGAATACCTCTTAAATTTTCTGTGATTGCTTACAGCAGGCTCAGATCCTGGGAAAATCAGAGTCAAGCAAAGGAAAGAATTCCCAGATTATTCCAGGGTTCTTAGCCTGCAGGAAGAAATCTCTTCAGGGATAGGATGATCTGTGAGAAGACAATGTTTCACTCCAAGAGAAAAACAGTCTGGAAGATTATTTCCTCGGGATGGGAATCCACTGATACATTTTAAAGGAGTGATAGGATAATGAATTTATTCCTGTGAATCATTAAATTCCAACAGATCTATTGTTTACCACATCCAGAAACCATTAATTCCTCAGGARGGCCAGATTCCAGGGTAAAGCCAACTCCGTGCTGTGATTTAAGGCCGTGACCTTCACTCCCAAAACACCAGATGATCAGTTTGGCCTCAGAATTCCTCAGAGAACCCCAGTTAAACCAGGCACAAGAGGCAAAAACGGAACAGCAATCCCTGGTGGTAAAACTTYCTCCTCTTCCTTTCTCCCCCTCCAGCTCCATGTCAGAACAGATGCTCTGGAATAACAGCAGGAAAGGGATAGAGTTGCCCAAACAAAGTTGTACTCCATGGAACATTTGGCTCAGAGAGGTTTAAAGAAGGATTTTATAGCTGAGGGTAGGAAATATCCTTCAGGCGCAGATTCCTTGATCCTGGATTTTTACGGGGACAGGATGGTTTTGATTCAAGAGAAAAAAGGAGGAAGAGATAAAAAGARGGGRAAAAGGAGGAAAAGGGGAGAAACAAGGAAAAGAAGAGAGAAATGAGGAGAAAGGAGGAAAAAATAAAGGAGGAGAAARGAGAGGAAGAATCCCGGGATGGTTGAGGTTGTCAGGGACCTCTTGGAGTCATTTTGCTTGAGCAGGATCACCCCCAGCACCCGGAAAGAACAGGAAAATAGGAAAAGAAACAAATCTCTACATTATAATAAAGATTATATGCTCCAGGGAGAGGGAGAAATTCAGTATCCAAGAGAGGGAGAGCTGGTCCATAAAAAATGTTGGGATGCTGAGCCAGGGCTGTGCAGAGCTCCCGGGAGGTGCTCAGCACCCCTAGGATGGGAAGTGGGAGAACAGGATTTAGGAKCTTGGCCCAAGAGAAATCCTAAAATCAAAGGAAACTCCAGGAGGCTGCAGGGAATGTGGGCTGGGAGTGGCCCTTAGGATCCCTTGTGGTGAGGCTTCCCATCCTCACTAATCCTGGGGCTCCTGGGAATCTGGGATCATGGCTGGAATTAACAGGGGGTGCTTCTCCCTTTGAAGAAGAGGAGATGCCTTACTAAAGGATCACATGGATGTCAGGAGAGAGGGAAGTGAGGAGGAAGCAGCTTGAGCTTCCATTTGCTCCCGGGAGCATCTTCTGTTCGTGGCACTCCCATTTCCCAGGATAAATCCTTTTACCAGCCAAAGAACCCATAGGGACACCACTGTCCCACCCCAACTGCACAATCCCACTGCTCCAAAGGGGATCCCAGACTGTAGCTGACCCACGGACTGGGATCCACCCCTCTGCTGGCACAGCAGAGCCTCACCAAGATGGGCACATTATTTCCTCAAGGAATAATACACATGCCAAGGGCTCATCCCAAAGGACACAGCCCTGGGCAACTAAACCTCAGCCCCACAAGCGACCCACTGGAAACCAAGGGAGGGAAACAAAGGCAACCAGGGGGAAAGAAAAGGAACCAATGATTCCACAAGGAAGAGCGAAGCGTGCCAACAAAGCCACAGCGAGGAAGAGAACACAGAGCAGAGGCAGGAACAATGGGATCAGGCTCCCAGCACATCCCAGTTCAGCCACGAGCAACCACATTTCATCCAACAGAGGCCAAATTCTCCTCCCAAACACTTTTCCACYTTGCTAGGAAGGAGATGATCCACAGCCATGTGGTACCCAAAGCTGTCCAGGCTCCAGCAAACATCTGTGATCTATAAGCCAGAGCCACTGCCATGAGCCTGCTCCTGCTCCAAGGATGTGAGGAACATTCCAAGGTCCTTGTTGGCATTGCAGTGGGAATCTAATGCACAACACAATTCCCAGGATATCCAGCTTGCCACCCAAGAAGTGCCATCCACTGGAGGATGCACAACTGCCCCTGGATTGTGGGGACGGGGATCAGTGCCATATCAGAGCTGGACAAGGCTATGATGGTATGGAGCCAGGCTGGGAGAGCTGGGATTGCTCAGCCTGGAGACGAGAAAGCTCCAGGGAGACCTCAGAGCCCCTTCCAGCGCCTAAAGAGGCTCCAGGAGAGCTGGAGAGGAACTCTGGACAAGTGCCTGGAGTGACAGGACAGGGGGAATGTCTTCCCACTGCCAGAGAACAGGGTTAGATAGGATGTTGGGAGGAAATACCCTCCTGCAAGGGTGCTGGAGCCCTGGAATGGATTTTCCAGAGAAATCGCGCTGCCCTACCCCCGCAAGTACCCAAGGCCGGGTCAGACGGTTCTTGCAGCACCCTGGGACAGTGGAAGGCGCTCCTGCCCARGRCAGGGGGTGGCACTGCATGAGCCTTCAGCTCCGTTCCCTCCCAGCCCATCCCAAGGCGTGCGCCGTGCCCTGCCTTTGGGGGACCCCGGGATCGTGCTGGGAACCCGGGAATGCCGGTGCCCCCGTTACCTTCAAAGAAGCGCTGCAGAGCTTCCGTCTCGTCCACCACCTCCATGGCTGGGCCATGCACGGGCCAGCCCCGGCTCAGTCCGTGCGGCTGCAGCGGGGCATCGCCCCGGCCCGGGGGGCCCCGCCACGACCCCCGAGCCCCGTCCGAGCCCCTTCCGAGCCCTCGGGCCCCGCTCTCAGCGCCGGGCTCTCGGTGCCGGTGCCGGCACCCAGCGCGGCCGCCCGATGCCCATCGGCGTCCGCCGAGCGCTTCCCCGGACTTGGGCTGCTGCGGCCGCTCCTCCCTCTTTCCCCACCGCTCCTCCTTCTTTTCCTCCCTCTTTCCCCACCGCTCCTCCCTCTTTTCCTCCCTCTTTTCCCCGCCGCCCTCCCTCTTTTCCTCCCTCTTTCCCCGCTGCCCTCCCTCTTTTCCCCGCTCCTCCTCCTCCTCCTGGCACGGTGCTCGGCGCGCCCTCGCGAATGGGGTTTGGCAACGCCACGGAGTCCCGAGGTCGCCAAAAGTCACCTAAAAACAGCCGCAAGGCATCAAAAGGAAATCTCGAGCTCGATTCCGGTCGCAAAGCGCTAAAAAGGGATCACAAGACAGCAAGAAATAGGCACAAGGCATCGAAAACCGGCCACTAAAGCAGCAAAAAA